GCAATAGTGTTCGACAGGGGGTCCTTTTGGACAAAAAAATCTGCATCCAAGCACACGCTCCTGGTTTTCAAAATGTGTTTTAAATGTATTTTGAAATGTCAAAAAGTTACAAAAACAAATTGACGCGTACATCTTGACATTGTACATGCTCACAAAATCGTTTCACGAAAAATCGACAAGTTATGTGGCGCGTGTGGAAAGGTCAAAATCGAGTGTTAAAAAGTGTTTTTCACAAGACATCTTTTTGTCTTTTTCACAAGCCACAAAAAATGTTGGTTTCTCTGAAACTTGATGTGCACACTTATAATGTCGAGATGTATGCACCAAGTTTTTGTTTAATTTTTTTCAAACTTTGAAATATTATTTTGGATGGCAGGAGCGCACGCTCCCATGTGCCAAAGCGAATTTCTGTGTGTTTTGGATCCTTTTCTGGATCATGTCTGTTCAGTATAATCTTTTATACCATTGTACCAATTTTGAATTTACTTTGACTGGCAATTTCAACAATAGTAGTTACAAAAAATATCAACAATAGTAGACAGGAACTTGTGTTGAAGATATCCCCACTTTCAATTATTTTGGTTAATGTTTTTCATTATGTTTTTCTTCATTCGACAAAATATGAAGTCAATGGGGGCAAATTGATATTTTTTACCTACCTTCCTTGCCTTATTAAACTAAAAATGAAGCCGAGATACCTAATGCCAAAGCGCATGCGGCATAGCATAGGCTATCATCTACCTGATTCTAGCATAGGTTGGTGTTGTCACGGTTCCCAAATGTGTGGATGGATTTTCTATTTGCCACTTGCTCTCTGTCCCCTCAATTTGGGAGGGCAATGAGAAAGTGAGGTAAAGAGAACAACAAGTCTTTGCCAAGGAAAAATGGAGAAATAAATGTTTGGCTTGGAAAAGGAGGTTCATCGATTGGAAACAATACGTTTGATTTTGCTCAGTGTGTAATTATCAGCAATAGAGAGTATCACTGTGATCAATGTCTTGATGCATCCTTTATTGTTCAATAGGCTCCTGACACTTATTTGTGATTCCGTAGCGTAGCACGGGCATATTACTAGTATAGAACATAATAAAGGGCAGCGCGAAGGAGCGTGATACCTTGCACCCCGACGGCGCCGGCGACTGCTGTCGCCCCCACCGACTAGAGCTTGCCTGTGGCGAACACGGGGGGCAGCTCCGCCGAGACCCTCTCCAAACCAACACCTGACGTGCCTGCCGCCGGCTCTATGGAGCACGCTTCTCGCTTACAAGCTCTCCACGCGGAGGACTCGCCGCACGCCATCTCCGTTGCTAAACGCCGGCGAGGACACCCCCACCTTCCCTCAGCCGTCTCCGCCCCGCCTCGGCCTACCCCACCAACCCCTTCTGCAGATAGAACAAGGGAAGGACGCCGCCCCAGAACTGAATAGAAAATTCAAAAACGCCTATCATTTACGGATCAAATAGCGAAATCCATTGCAGACCCGCAAGCCCGAAAGCCCAACAACAAGGAAAAAGGTCCACCACACACCCAACATTGAGGACAAACGAAAGGCGCTAAGATTCGTGTTAATCGGACGGACTAAAAAACGACATGAGACGAAATTGTCTTCAGACGATTGAAAATTAGTAAAACTGTATCATAAATTACTTATCATACTTAGTAAAAAACGTTCGTTACCCTCAAAAAAAAAAGTAAAAAACGTTCGGACTTTGACATGTGTTTGTGTCGACACTTATCCAGAAACTAATCCATGTGCTATGTCCGTGGGCTCAGGCAAAACAACGGCAGAGGTCTAGAAACCGGAACAGTGAAGAAGGTCGCCTTCAGCCGACGCGACGCGGCGACGGCGTGGACCTTTTTACTAGTACTTCAGACAGACAGGAGGAGCAGAAGCAGAACTGCAGAAGCAACCAGCCGAGGCCCGTCGTCCCTTGTAGACAGTTCGAAAGTCGTCTCGATCCATCATCCATCCCGTCTCGCCAGCAGCCGACCATGGCCGCGCAGGCGCCGCCGCCGCCACCGCCGGAGCAGAAGATGATGGTGGCGATCGACGAGAGCGAGTGCAGCCACTACGCGCTCGAGTGGGCCCTGCGCAACCTCGCGCCCCGCCGCCTCATCCTCTTCACCGTCCAGCCCTTCTCCCCCCTCAGCTACCTCCCCGCCGGCTCCCCGCGTAAGCCCCACCCGCACCTCTCAGGCTCTCTTCCATCCATCCAGTTACTGGTAGTCTATACTAACTAAATCGTATTGCTGGCTTCTACTGAAGGAGCAGTCGGCCCGTCGGTGGCGTCGCCGGAGCTCATCAGGTCCGTGACCGAGCACCAGCGGCAGCTCGCCCAGGCGCTCGTCGACAAGGCCAAGGCCATCTGCGCCGAACACGGGGTATGTGATTCTCGCGCTCACCTGCCTGATTTCTTCCTCGATCTGGTCAATGGGCGCGACCATGGCTCTGAGAATTAGTAATTTGGGGGCAGAACTGGATCTTGTTTTCCCAGATCAGATTAGTTCATCGGCTATGTCTCGTCGGTTAATTTATTTGTTTTGTGTGTAGGTTGAAGCAGAGACCGCCATCGAGGTGGGTGATCCCAAGGAAACCATATGCGAAGCTGCAGAGAAGTTGAATGTTGATCTGCTCATCCTGGGAAGCCACAGCCGAGGGCCTATACAAAGGTAGCAATCATCATCCTTTTCTGCTCATCAGGATTTCATTTTGAGTTCTGGAAATGTGTTACTCTGTAGTGCTCTGTGCTAAATCAGTTAGTGAATGTTGTCCTCTTTCATCGTTTTTGTAGTGAAATGCATTTCCTGTCGATGATGTTCTTATGTGCTTGCAATGGGACGGACACCTAAATTGACGAGGGATAAATAATTATACTCAAAAGCTACCGTTTATTTGTCTGTACATAGATGGGTAGTGGTCAGATACCAACTACCAAGTACTGATTGGTAATTTCTGATGATGAGTGACAGTTAATATTCAGAGAAGTTACATGTTAGAATTCAATAACAGTGAGGTAGTCACAGAGAAAACAACTTGACATGAAACCCAGAAACACCTCTGGAACTACTGTCTTTTGTTATGTACAACATGTGTTGTTAAATCAATCTTATGTGTTGAACTCACCTCTAAGGATCATAGCACTGTGCGAGGTAAGACATACCTCATTCAGATGACCTTGCACATCTCACGATGAAAACTGCCTCTACAACAACAATGTTTTTTGTTATGTTGGGCATGTATTGTTGAATCTCACATGTGAACTCAGCTCTAAGCACTCTAGCATTTGTGCAAGCTAAATACTTGATTATCCCCGTGATGCTCCATGTTGAGCTAATAAAATCCACACTTTGTCGGAAAAAAAACTTGGTTATCACCTAATTTATCTTTTTGGTGTGTTACGCTCACCTTCTTAAGTGATTACCTACATATCACCTGAGTTGGGGGAAAGGCCTCCTTTTTGAAAAAGAAAACATATCACCTGAGTTCCATGTTGTTCTTGGTGTACTGTCGTTATTCATACTTTGTGTACCTTGTACAACCAAATTGTCATACCCAGCTCAGAGGTAGATTGTTGGCAGCACGCAGAAGTTAAACTATCTTGTACGGAGTACTTGCTTGTTTAAAATGAAGACTATATGTACTTAACCAACTAAACAAGAACATGATTACTGCTAACTTCTTAGCGAAAAATCAAGTACTCATCAGCCATCACATATTCACATGCACCATCTGAGACACATTTGACAAGATGTTACTCCCTCCGATCCATTTTAATTGTCGCTGATTTAGTACAAGTCGGAGGGAGTTCAATGTTCTCATCTCCAACTGATGCGATTGCTCTGCTATTGGTGTTACTGCAGGTTTTTCCTTGGCAGTGTGAGCAACTATTGTAGCCACCACGCAAAGTGTCCAGTTCTTGTGGTGAAGAAGAAAGAATAAAACCATGATGTCTGTTGTACTCCTGCACATTGTCTGAAGAACCCTTGAGTGTGTGTCTATATTATATATAAATAAAGATACTGTGCCAATTTGGAAACCGCTATGTATTCAGGGCCTGTTCGGGAGCTCGCCAGCTTCCAGCTTCCGCGAATCCGCGAGCAGAGCTGGCCCGAACGGCCCGGCTCCAGGAAGCTGACTTCCCGGATCAAAGCAGCGTCTACGTACAAAAAACCGGAGCGGCGGTTTCGGCGATCCCAGAATCGGAAATCCTGGAGTTGACTTTATTTACAGAGAGCTGCCACCGCGAAGTGGAAGAAAACGGTTCGTGCGATGAAAGAAACGAAACGGTTCGTCCCTACCAGGCCAGAAATGAGCTTAATGGGCTAGGCCGCTAGAAGCCCAACACGAGCGACTGGATCGGGGAGTTCTAGTGCCGAACGGTTTTCCTGATCCTTAATTTTCGTCTGGAAGCTGGAAGCCAGATCGGGAAGCCAGATTTAAGGATTTCTTGGCGCTGGGGAGTTGCCGAACAGGCCCTCAGTCTTGTACGTGAACGAATAACGCAAAGAGGCAAACTGAGTGGCTGGTTATTGGAATTGAATTTGAAGATTCATGGGAAAAGTGAACATGTTATTGCACCGTTTACATTCTTCATTTGCTTGTTCTTTGCAGGTTGGACCTACGCAAAAGCTCTGTGATTTCTATGATGTTCTGCTGCTGTGGAGAAAAACTGATTGACCTGAACTGTCTTACAAGCGAGCACTGAACCTGGAACGTGGAAGTCACACAAAGCAGAGTGATCGCATTTGTTTCAGCATAACCATCTGACAACAATAATCTCATTTTCCGTTAAGACCCATTCCCTCCCACAGCCCCCATCAAAGAATTGTTAACTCACATAATCCCACCACAAAACGTATCAACACACACACAAGCAAAAACACCCTGCATCTGCGCTGCATCACATGTAATCCACGAACCTACCGAACCGGCCTAACCCTCTCTCTCTCTCTCACACACACACACACACACGCTGTAACAGAACAGAACGGAACGCTAGCTAGTTGACGGCGGTGCAGACCCGGCGCACCTCGCCGGCGCTGCCGGTCTTGACCCCGATCCGGCCGAGCTTGGCCATGGCGGCGACGAAGGCGTCGAAGAAGGCGGAGGAGTTGGCGGCGAAGAGGTTGACGGTGGGGCGGGAGCGGCGGTCGGTGAAAAGCACCTGGTCGGAGGCGAGCAGGCCCTTCTGGTACCGGAGGTTGTCGAAGTAGGCGTTGTCGAAGGTCTTGGGCGTGGTCACGTCCAGCATGGCGAACGCCGTGGGCGGGTAGTTCATGGGGCACACCTTGCGCAGCGACCGCAAAAAGTCTAGGTTCATCGGCGGGTTGTACCGCAGCCGCTGCTTGAACGTGTAGATCCGACGCACGAACTTGTCGCAGTGCGTCACCCCGATCGTGTGCGCGCCTGTTGCATTATATGTAACACAAATGAAGGCACGAAACAGATTCAAATTTTGATTAAAAAATGACAAACGGATGAAATTTTTGCTGCTTTTTCCTTGAGAAAAACAGTTCTTCAGTTTTACAGTATTGCTAAGTGTTAGTCGACTGAGACTGTCTATTTCAATATGTCTAAGTCGATACTATATTCCTTTGATCTTGTCTGGAGATTCATACATTTTTTTCAGTTTTTCTTCTTCTTGTATACTACTCCTTCGGTTTCACAATGTAGTGCGCACATGCTTCCCGAGATCTAATGTGATTATAAATTTAGTCCACAAGACCTACTGCAGCTGGAGCAAAAATTATATCATTGAATTGCACTGAATTCGTATCAAAAATATGAATTCAATGGTATAATTTTTGTTCCCGCCACAGTCGGTCTTGCTGGTTAAATTTATAAAACTTAAATCTTGAAAAGCGCAGGCGCACTACATTATGGAACGGAGGTAGTATATCATTTGACTAAGACTTGATTAAGCCTGAGACCTAAACACATCCTTAATTTTAGTATAAACGGTAATGTGTGCATTTGGTCTGAGTAATCGAATCCACGTTCGGCCTAAAATCATCTAACTCGCCTGGAAGTAGAAAATTCGAAGCTACAACAGTGAGTTTTGGGCCCAATAGCAGTTCAAGACCGACAGCTGCTGTGTGCTTTCTCTGTCAAAACAAAACTTGTGTGTGCAGGATGAATTATTTTTAGCAATGAGAAGGATATTATTTTGCCAAATTAACGAAAATATAGCTAAACAAGTAGGCTAGCACACGCAAGTGCAAATTCAGTATCGGATGCAAGTGATAGTGGACTTTGTCAGTTCGAAGGACGAAAGATTTTATGCAAAACAGTTGTGCTCCCATGGTCCTGCACGCACAGTCCTTTCAACTTTGCATGGGCCAAATTGGCCAGTATAGTCAAAAGTTACTGCTAGCAGTACTTTGTTTCTATTTTGTGTCATCATAGGGTGGGCCTTGCTTGGTTCCGAATCCAAGCGTTCCGGTTATGTGAAAGCAAGCATAGGATCTCACACGAAACCAAGAACATTCAGACAAAGTGTCTTGTGTGCCCGTGTACTGTAACTGAGATAGTTTATCATACTCCCAAAATGGAATCAAACAAAAAACAAGCGTTAACAAACACACAAACGGGCTCCTTTGTCTACTTGCTTGCTAGTACTATGTCAGAAAACAGCACATGACTTTCTCTGTCTTTCCAAACGAAAGTAGATTCCGGGCCTGTTACCGTGCAAAAGAGGCCTCCATTTTCCCTCGAGGAAAAGAAATTACCTCTATATTATCACTGTGTCAGTGTTTTTCTACTTTCGAAGCAAACAAAACGAAAGTGGGAGGCTCTTTTCATTGAAAAAATAACAGAGAAATGCAGTGCGGTGTGAAACAGTGAGCCGCTTTGTCCTCTGCTCCAAGCAGCAGGATGTGTCACGTGAAGTGCGCACAGGGCCAAAGAAAGATGCTTGCGCTGCGACTGCGATCAACCTACTTTACTGAAATGTTGAAATATAATAATACGGTGCAAATGCTAACGAAGAAGGAAGGAAGGAAAAGCAGTGGTGTACCGGAGAGCGCGATCATGTCGAACTGGGTGAGGCCGTTGCTGGCGAAGAGCGCGTTGAGCTGGTTGAGGTCGAAGCCGGGGCCCGGGAGGACGTGCTTCACGATGGACTTGCTGAACGACCTGCCGTCCAGGCGGCCCAGCTCCACGCCGTAGCTCGGCCCGCCGGTCTACAATAACATCAGAAACATGTCAGCAACGATTGGTATTGCAATCGCATGGTAATCCTTTCGATTTAGCGGGAGCCGTCCATGACAGAGTTTCAGCAATGATATTTTCTCCTGGTGCTCCGAGGAGCACTCGTATCGTACGTAGGCCAAATTGTCCATACCTAGTCATGCGTGTCAGTGGTCTACGACGCTACGGAATGGAAACTTTGTCTGCCTGCTGGGCGGGGGCACGCCTTCTTGCAGTTGCAGGCAGCGTCCTCACAGGCACCTACTCGGCCAAAGCTCTGCTGCGAAAGCGTCACGGGCAACATACAGACGACGGCACCGAGCTTACAGTGACCCGGGGTTGCGCGGAACCCGACTAGCTTCCCATCGATCTCCTCGAATCTCATTTCGGGTCACGTCACTGTCGCTGAAAGCGCCGGAGGCCCAAAGCAGAGAGGCCGGAGGCTAAAGAAGTACGCTAGCTGTGCATGCCCCGGTACTCGCCCCTCGTACGCATCCAAGGCGCCCCGGCGCGGTCACCGCGCCGCGGGCACCACGACACCCGGAACCGCGCGGCGCATGCGTGCGTCGCGACGCGACCCGGCCGGCATCCGGCCGCGCCCGACACGCATCGCTGTGTCCTCCGTAAGCACCACCTTTTTGCGCTTCGGGAGGGAACGAGAGACCGGAAAGATCGAGCCACCCTGCTGCATCTCTCTGACCCTGCAATGCAAGGCCCGGCCATGGGCGCGGATCACCGGCCGGCAGCGTGGCTGGACCATGGCTACCCTAGCCTATAGATGCAGCATAGCAGGATGGCGCGGTGGTCTAAAAAGTGACTGACGGGCAAGCTGGTCGAACAGTGTCACCGCGGCCCCGCCCGGCCTGGTGGGGCTGGGCGCGCTCAGCAAAAGGGTTGCGCGCACAAGGCAAGGCCGGACCGTGGCCCGCCCGGCTGGGGTCACGGAGGAGAGAGGGAGGGAAACGAGCCTGACTGCCTGAGCCAACCAGGACTTGCGCATTTCAGAGTCCTGGGGTCCGTGCGAGCCTGGCTCGACTGACAGGGGCGCATGCGCCCCGCTCTAGCTCCCTACCGCCGGGTACCCCGGTGTCACGGGATAGCGCGGCACGGCCCGTTGTTTACACGGTGGTGCGACGGGTGAACTGGCGAAGGCAATCGTGGTATTGCACGTACCAGGGAGACGACGTCGCGCGCGGCCATGGCGAGGATGTCGGCGCAGGAGACCTTGCCGGCGCACCCGGGGAGCGCCTCGACGGCGGCCTTGGCCTTGTTGATGGCCTCTACGGCGTCGGGCGACAGCGTGGCATCCGCGCCGCTGTGGCTCTCGTCGTCCCCGTTCGCCGCCATCAGCATCACCGATGCGTCGCACCCCTGCGCACAGCAACACGGTCATGACCAGGTCACGGCAATCAGCAATGCCAGGACGGTGGAGCAAGAACAGAAAAGACGCGCGGCTTACCCGGACGAAGCAGTCGTGGAAGAAGAGGCGGAGCGTGCCGGGCGCGACGGCGAAGCTCTGCTGGACGTGCTGCGAGATGACGGAGCGCACGGTGGACTCGGCGCTGGGGCAGCTGCTGGCGTAGTAGTTCCGCCGCAGCTGCGCGGTCGCGGCGTCGGCGAGGCACGCGAGCGCGACCACCGCCACGAGGCCGGAGGGTAAGAATGCCCTCGCCATTGCCGGTCGAACAAGCCCTGCTCTGCTCAGCTCGGCTCGGCGTGGACGCGCGCGCGCGTGTGGGCGAAAGGCACCGTGCGTGACTGACGCCGGTACGCACGATTTGTACCGGCTGCGCGCCTAGAGAGTGCGAGTGTGCGCTTGCGTGGGGGCGCGGGAGCGAGGAGGGAAGTGCGGGGGCATTCGCGAGGATATATAGGACGGGTGGGTCAGCTCCGTTGGTGCGCGGCGGAGATGACGGAAAAAAGGAGCCGTGCGATGTGAACGGGAACATGACGGGAACCGAGACGGTCGCGGCAGCAGCCGTTTTGCAATCTCGGCGCGGATGGATGGGACGCAGGAGTATCTTTTTCCTTTTCCGTTTATCGATGAACTGAAACACTTTTTTAGTCCGACCAGCCTTCGGCGCAGAACTGATCGATGAGCACTTGTGGATTTATTTACGTTTTTCGTTGATTTATCTCTTCCTTTTTGCAGCGGGGGATCCATTTTACTTGTTAGTGCTAGTAGAGCACAAACAACCATATTCACTGCTTGCTAACTAGTGATTACACGCCGAGCTAGGAGTACTTCGTAGGAGTAGAGTAAGGTGATCTAAAAAAAACAGTAATAGAGTAAGGTGAGCTTTATCGAGCAACAAAACACACTTGAGCACAAACGACTATAATTATTCGCTGTGCGTGCCGGAGTGACTAGGGGCTTCGTCGGGGAACAAAAGGCCAAAAGGGGATGGACTGGTGTGGCTGCATCCCGCATGCACCATGTCTACAGTATGGCGCTCAGGCTCAGCTCATCTCTGGCGCTAGTCCGCTTGCTTGCGCGCAGATTCAGTGGCCAGCTACCATCCAAAGCATCCTCACATGCCGCTGCCTCGTTGCGTCCTGCACCCATGGCGCCCATGGGCATGGTATGGTAGACTAGCCAGGCCGTGCCTACCTTCCCCTGTGCCCGGTTCGGCCGGTACCCAAGGCGCACGTCCCGGCACCAGAGAAAAACAAGATTCACGGACATGCTGCATAGAAACGCGGCCGCTTTACCTACCCTACGCTAGGTAGCAGGCCAAGATCATCAGTGACCAACATGCAGTGATGCAGTGCGGTTGTGCGCCGTTTGAAACTTAATCCCGAAGAGAAGAAATCAAATGTAGCTCTGCATGAAGTTTTGTGTTGAACCCTACCTAAGCTATAGAAGTATCTTCTTTTCCTGTGTCGTCTTTGTCAGCCGTGGCCATGGTCATATGCCTTCCCAGTAAAACTAACTTTCATTGTCTAAAATAATGTACTCCTCAAAACTAAACCCTGTGGGTACACGGCAGTTACACTAACCCACTACTCGCGTTAGTTTACCATCAACCCGTACCTTGGAACACGCAGAAAACAAACAGACATCTCTGGAGCATTTCAGAGCTCCAACGTGCAATGCTAGTGGTGCAGAGCGTAGCAGGTTTTCTTGGGAGAACGGCACTAAGACTGACTGATGATTACTCTGGAGAGGCAGTTGCACTAATCAGGGAGAGGCAACTTGACGGTGTAGATTAGATTAGTGATGTAGTAAAACCGAGCGCCTCTTCTGAAGCGCATTGGACGCGCCGTTTTCGGCAGACGCATCCATCTGCTTCCTCGGTTTGTCGCAACGGGAAAGCAGAGCGGGAAGGCTTTGTTTATTTCACCCGGCACAATACGAGGGATCTTTGGACATTTTCTGCTGGAATCGTCTCGCGGCAGCTGGTGGTAACCCATGACCTATGTCTGTGTGGAGCAGGACCAGCGCTCCTCTCTCTCTC